CATCCAGCATTTGTCGTCGCGATTTGGGGGCATTGTTGAGTTAGAGAGAGTTGCGCGCAAGTTCAATTTTGAGAGTAAGGCAGGAACACAAGCTGTGCACCGCGTTTCTAGACACGCTGACCCGCGGTTGTTTCTAGATTTGTCCGGCCAACCTCCTATCAAGCCCTCCAATGATCTGCGCAGGCTCATTCTCCAGTCATGCCACGCAACCCTTATCCGGCTGGGAGACCTTTCCCGCTATCGTGAATCGGAACTCGTCAGCAAAGATCGCAACTGGGGCCCTGCTATCGGTTATTATGATTTGGCGTCGGTGATCAACCCTGCATCGGGTGCATCTCAGAACCAATTGGCAATTATCGCTCTCGCGGATGGAAATCATCTTCGTGCTACCTACCATTTGTACAGAGCCCTTTCAGCTCAAGAGCCTCATCCTACTGCGAAGGGCAATCTGGAGATTGAACTCCGAAAAATCATGAGCCTCTGGGCTAAACGAGAGCTGATCCGCCCGGAAGATGCCGGTATCCCTGGAAGGGCATTGACTCCGTGGTTCCTCTATCTTCACGCGAAATGTTACAAGGGAACCGACTTCCCGGAGCACGATGAGTTAGAGAGTGAAGTTCTAAGCCAACTAGCAGTTGAAATTAGAGAGCGATCACTAGAAGGGACACTACAAAAGTTCTGTCTCATCAATATTGCGGCAGAGGATTTTGCCAAGGTCCGGTCCATTGGTAAGAGTTCGAACCATTATCATTGCTCATGCATATGCTTACCTATCCCCCAGAGGAGTCCGTCTTGGATGCACGCGTCTTTTTCCAGCGCATCAATGTAAAGACCTTTTTCACCTTACTGCAAATACTTTTGGTCGAATTAGAACGGACTGCTTCTTTTGAAGATCCAAACAGCAAAGACGCACTGCCTATCCCAGACAAGGTGTCTGTAGTTGCCCGCCGGATCTTGCCCGCGCTTCGCCATTACAGCTCCTGGCTACTCACAAATAGCCAGTCTCTGGTTGAACAGAAAGACGAAAAGGACTCAGCGCTCTCGATCCAAATCAAAGAATTCTGGAAAATTTATGCCGGTACGCTGAGCCTGCTCGCATCCTCGTTCGATGTGGTCAGCCTTCCCGAGATTGATTATCTATTGGAAGAAGACGAAGAAAGTCTTGGGTTTGCACCTCTGGATCAGGATGCCACTTCCCGCCGATATGGTCGAGGTGGTGATCAGTCAAAGCCCCGGATGCACGATCTTGGGATTGAAAGAAGTCACCCCAACATGGAAATGCTCTATCGAATTCGTGAATTCGTGATTGATGGACTCGACTTGGTTGTGAGAGGAGTACGTGAAAAGCTCTCAACATATCATAAACAAACAAACAGATTGCTGACCTCGTTTAGAAAATCCCGGTTGCTCTTGTGGACAGTGAAGATAAGAAGACATTTATCTATCAGGAAGAGGATCTGCCTCCACAATTCTATTCCAGCCCTCATGGCCGCCAGCATGCACTTTCGGCTGCGAGCATTGAGCGCGAGGATATCCCACAGGCCGCTCCAAATACAGACTCTGCGGCAGAAGCCCAAAGCTTGTTCGGCGGTTCACAGTCTGCATCGGCATCTATGTCCGCCAACATGCATCAGATCGTTGAGGGTGTTGAGCGACTTGTTGACTCGGACACGTATGAAACCCCTCCCAATGACCAATTTGCTTTCATGAGCACGGGTGAGATATCGACACCTACGCATGTTTCACCTAATATCAATGCCTATCCGTTCCGTGACGAAAACTCTCCACCTCTCACCACCCCAATCGCCCCTCCACCTGGGCTTGGTCCACCAGTCATGAATGCAGCCGATTCTCTTAGAGCGCCATCGGCTCAGTCATACACCTCACGACCTGCCATTCCCAGCCTCCCCAGCATTTGGACGCCGCTGAGAGACACCGCCCCTCCACGCACGCCTCCTGGCCTTGGTCCACAGCCTGGCCAGCAAGCTCCACTGCACCATCTGGCTTCTGGGAATGCCATTCCCTCTGAGCGCTCACCGTCGCAAGATCAGCTAGCAAATGAGCTCATGCTCCGACAGCACCTGTTGGCCCAGGCGCAGTTTTCAAACTCGCTGGATGTAGGATCGATGCCCACGCCGTGGGCCTCATCCAACATGTCTCATGCTCGTCCCACCGCCAGCGGCTGGGATCACGGCCGAGCAACCTTCGGTGCATTCGAACTCCCGAGCCAACCAGCGCCCAGCAGCCTGGGACATCCCTCGTGGGCCAATGACGCTTTCATCGCCAGCAGCCTCGCTGGAGCAACTCCCTATAACTCCGGGATTGGAGGGCGCAAGCCTGGAACACAGCTTGGAGCAATCGGACAAACCCCACCCTGTGGCCAAGGAGGCTGATTCCAATATCCAAGCTCTCATTTTTTAGTTCTTCCATGTGCATATGCATATTACACTACCAGCCGGGCAAGCTGTCAGAATTAACAGTGCAACTCGACCTCCAACTATCCTGGCGTGTACTGTGTTTGTCTATGAGCGTGGCCGCCTGTATACTGCGATGCGACTTTACTTGCCTTGCGTCTACACATCCAGGCCTACTCTGACAGTGTGCACCTTTACAACGACCAGACGAGATTTTGTACTGCTAGCCAGTTCACAAGTGGCAGATGCCGCACTAGTCCTCTGGTGGGCGAGGACACACTGATGGTTGTTTCCAGAATGTAGGAACTTCTTTGGTCCTCGCTCTCCTCGCAATTTGTTTGGACGAATACGTGCGTTCAATATACGACATGATCAATACGAGGATATGAACATGGACAATCTGCCATTGGAGAAGACGTTTGTTTCGTTCTGTTTTCTGCCTTTTCTTCTTTTCATGCAATATGGCCTGGAACCCTGTTATCCCCATCAATCTTAGCCTTGTCTTCTTTTCTTTTCTTGTTAAAGAATCATGTGGCACGAACATACGGTGATCTTTGAATCGAGTATGGGTCTGCAGATTGCTTGAGGCCCATTACCCTCTTGACACCATCGTGCTGGTTATGTAGGCAGTTGAAATTCAATTTTGCGTTTTACGTGTTTCTCTTCATAGTAGTTTACGAGATTTGTTCTTTCATGTGAATAAATAGAAAGGATTGCCCGAATATGTTCATTCATCAAGTGGCCAATGGCCACAAATAATTTGAGGACAAGATTCTCGATAAAGTATGGCCTTTGTTCGATTTTTCAGAGAGTACGTTGAAGTCATCAAGTTTTAAAAAAAGGAAAAATTGGGTATAGAGGGTTGAATCATCCAAAGTCAGGTGGTGCGCGTCCGGTTGTTGAACTGAATTGCACAAAATCTTCCAAAATTAGGTTGGGAGATGTGTTGAAGGTGTTTTGGTAGTCTATGCTTTTTTCGTAGCCTACGTTATGAACGCTTAAGAGCGGGAGTAGGTCTGCTTGGGGGAGGGGAAGCTGCAGGTTGAAAGATGTTAGCTAGTATTCCTGCAAGGTATTGCTTTGGAAGAAACTCACGAAGGTCCAAGCTCCTGGATGCTCTTGCTGGCGAGCCACTGGCCCATGTCGATGCTGTCATCAAGGGACTTGCCCGAGACGACACCAGCGCAGAAACCACCGGCGAAGGCATCACTATAGGGGACAAAGGTTAGTAAACAGTTAATGTGGGGTTGGTCAGATCAATATCACTTACCCAGCACCGTTGGTGTCGTTGATGGCCTCCTTGGAGATCTCGCGGACCTTGAACTCCTTCACCTCGACATCACCAGTAGCAGAGCCGATGGCGACGATGGTGGGGAGAGTGCCCTGGGTGACAATGGCAACACGGGGACGCTGGGTGTTCTTCTTGGGGAGCTGAGCGAGCTTCTTGGCGATCTCGGTGATATCCTCGGTGCCCCACTGGTGGCCCTCGGCGTAGGCAAGAGCCTCAGTCTCGTTACAGAAGGTGTAGTCGGTGTAAGGCAGAACGCTATCAAGCTGGTCCTTGAAGAACTGAGCAATGAAAGGAGCAGAGATAGAGAGCATGAAGGTCTGGTGAAAATAAATAGATTAGAATGGAGGTCCAATGCATCAGAATGCAAATGACATACCTTGTTCTTAGCAGCAGCCTCCTCACCCAGGGCGATGATGGCAGGCACGCAGACAGTCAGGTGGTAACCACCGACGTAGTAGACCTGGGCCTTCTCGACAAGAGACCAGACCTCGGGCTGCTTGAGGTGCTCAAGCTTGTACTCGTTGGCAGCAGCGAGGTGGGTGCACATGCTGCGGTCGTGGCCAGTGATGACAACACCACACTTACCGGTGGGCTGGGCCTCATCAACACGGTACTCGGTGTGGACACCGGCCTCCTCGCAAGTCTTCTTGAGGATGTCACCGAACTTGTCCTTACCGATACAACCGATGTAAACAACGGACTGCTCGGGGAGCATGTACTGGGAACATTATCAGTATCAATATTCCAGATCACGAGAGTGTTTTAATGCATACCTGGGCACCACGAGCGGTGTTCTGGGCGGCACCACCGGGGATCAGCTTGGCGTCGCGGGCAAGCAGGTCCTCGTAGATACCCATGTGCTTGTCCTCAGCGAGGATAGCATCATTTGGCTTCAGATCGTACTTCTCGAGGAGAGCGGCATCGCTAAGAGATATTATCAGCATCTGGAATTTAGCATCATTTTACTTCAGGTTCATCCATACCCACGAGCCTGGATGTCTATAGTAATGTTAGCATTTTATAAAATATGACGAGATGATACTTCACATACCGAGGAGAGGGTTCTCCAGACATAGAAGAGGGTAACCTTGAGGAGCAGCCATTGTTATATGATTAATGAGAATGAGAATGGAATTGAAGTAAAAAGGGTGGGAAGGTGGGAGGATATGGAGGATATGGAGGGGTTGGCAGAAAAGAGCGGACTGCGCATCCCCGGTCCACCGGTAACAGCCGACCTTGGGAGCTGCTACTCACCAGCTCTTTTGCTCTATACATTCATATTATAATCCACCAAAATGGCCGGCCATGCTATGGATATCCCGCAGATTATCCAATCTGCAAGCATCAATCACAATCCTGACCCAGTTCATGACATCAACCCAGCCACGGCAGCTTCAGAGAAACAACCTGTCGTGGTAGGCCCGGACTCCGAAACAGCCAGCATTGCCTCCGACATTGTCCATCCAAGCCGAGTAATTCGACCAGTCTACCGGCGACAGAATCTTCCTCCTCTTCCCGATCTGCGCTTCGAACAGAGCTATCTGGCCAGCATTAAGGATGCCGATACCTGGGGACGAGTGGCATGGATTACCACTAGGGATCAGGTATGCAATGCCGCCATTCCGTTGATCTCTTTAGGCTGTCAAGAATAAAACCCTTTGACAATGCCTGGCTAACACATAATCTTTTTCCTTCTAGGTACTTCTCCCTCTGATCCAAGGAACCGTCTGGACACTCGCACTCTCGGGCTGGCGTTTCTGGAACCGCAATGCCTCAGTCAGCGGGCACACCCTCGGCAGTCGGGTTCGCAGATGGTGGTACGAAGTGAACAACTGGCATCTACCGCAAATTGGCTCAGCCAGGGATCCTAAACTGGCGTCGCAGGTTGAAGATGTGAGTACCTGCTTCCCCAATCGTCGATTTCCCATCTGATCTCGACCAGAAGTGGCAGAAGTGGAGAGGCTGATGCTCGAGGAGTTTTTGCAGTTTTACACGGCCCAGTTCTCTAATGCAGGCTCTGACTGAGGTCAGCTATGCGCTGGATGCGACCTATTAGTATCTTAATTCAGGGGTCTGGCCACTGGCTTCTGTGTACACTGTATTGCTTGCATTTTTGGCGTTTGCGCTGTTGGAGGCGCCTGTTGTTGATTCCCATTTGTATTTCCTATATCCCCTGACTCTACTTGGTAGATTATCTTATTTTTTTGCCATATATCTGGCGTACCGGGCAGACCTCAAGGGCTGCCGCGTCAGAATACAACATTTGCGTTGTCGATTGGCATAAATCCATATACAATTGTAGTGTTGTCTGCTATGTATTGAACTTATCGGGCAATTGCTCATGAGAGAGACAATCTTTGTTTTGGCATCTCCATTCCATTACTTCGTATACCGTTTCAAGCTTGGGTCAACACACAGAGCTAATATAAAGTACAATTGCAATCCAAAAGATCTATCTAGCAACAATTCATAGAATGTACATCCCTGCTCTCTTTTTAGTCTTTTTCAAGCCTGACTGAACCAAATTTATGGCCAGTTTCAATTTTGATGAACGCCATTTGAAGAAACGGAGGGCGCAGCCACGGCCACTGCAGGATGGGTTGGCACTTGGGGTATCGGAGCAGAAGGTTGTGAAGGTGTAATCATGGTCGGGGACTGATGCGCACCCGAGTTTGATTGATCGGTGAGTGTCGTCGGCGGTGCTTGGGCGGAGGAAGATGTTGCAGCTTCTCCAGAATCCTTCATTTCGACATCTTCCGCAGGAGGTGATTTGTCAATCTGGACCTCCGGATTTCCAGATGCATCTCCCTTGCCATATCGAAGTTGCACGACAAGGCTTTCTGGCTCCTCATTGCCGGTTGACTCATCTGCACTTGCTTCGTTCCCTTCATTGTCGCCTTCGAAATCGTGCTCCAAGTCGTCTTCAACACCTTGCCATTCGTTGCCGCTTTCATTGGCGCTTGAATGGACTTCAGATGCATCCTCCAGATCATCGGGATCGTATCCAGAGTATCCGTTGGGGTGGGTCGAAGTTCGAGCCCTCTGCGGTCTGCTTACTTCTTCTTCTTCATCGTCATCGAACTCTTCATAATCAGCTCCGTCGCGTTGACCAGTCAACAGAGCCTCGCCATAGAGGCCCCCGGCGCGAGATCGAATCTGCCTCCCGCTTGCCGTGAATCGAGGGCGCCTAGACTCGGTTGAAGATTCCGTAGGAGCCGCATTTCTCGTAGAGCGACGGGTGGAAGGCTCATCATCAGACAAGAAGTCTTCGTCTTCCGAGTACGTATATTTCAGTTTCTTGCCGCGTGTGCGACCTTCATACATAGAGAACGCAGGATCCGGACGGACGAAGGCAGCTTTTCGTGCGAGACGATAGTCCCTGCGTCTCCGTTTCTAATAATTCATTAGCAGAATCCAATTTACTTCTCAAATAGGAAATCACCTCTTCTGATGCCTCAAACCGAGGAATCGAAGCGCGTATTCTCTCGCTGAGCTTCTTGGAGTTTGTGCCTTTTTCGCCCTCAAGTTTCTCCATGACAGCCTCCAGCTCGGGAATACTCCCGGCGATGCTCCACCAAGTGTTGTGTTTAAGGGCCGGGTTACTTTCGCGGTAGAGACGGAAATTTGTATCATCGTGCCCTTCGATAAGCCAATATCGGCGTTTCAGGCTATCCCGACCCCAGGGTTGGACAGACAATGGTTGATTGAGGTCATCATCGTGGCGCGCCTGCTTGTAGGATTCTTTGATCTTCGCCTGGACCGCTTCGGACGACGAAAGTGACCAGAGTATCAAGGACTTCAATAAACGCAGCTAAGACGAAACATGTCAGAATCGCAAATCAGATGTCGTGGCAGGTCTTAAAAACATACACGTTCCACGGGGGACATGGTCGCAAAGCTGCGACCCCCATGAAGGGGGTTTTTGCTCTCCCATTCTTTTGGCCACTGCGATTGATGTGTATGGATTGCTTCTTCGAGAGGACGTGTAAAGTGATGTCGTCTATATATTTCAAACATTAAATTAGCATTTGACTTCACAACCGATAGCGCGGGGGTAGAAAAGGCGCGTCAAGCACTCCGCAGTATCGGGCGACAGGTGGCGACCTTACTCAACTTCCTTCTTGCGATTCAGAACAAGCCCAAGCAATGCGCATAGAAGTCTTTCGATGTATTCTCCAGGGGGAGACTCTTCAATCCCCTTCTCAATATCCTGTGGGCCGTAGTGTGGGACTCCTTTGGGGAACACTTCATGGAAACGCGCGCGGAACGCAACGATGAACTAATGATTGCGATAAATCAGCAAGCGTGTCCTATTGTTGACTGAACGCGTCATATACATGTCCGTAGATCAAGCAATGCGCACAATCTTCCTGCGAAATAAACTCACCGCGATATCGGGGTTGTCGGCCAGGACGTATTCATGCGGAGGTGACGGTTCCCGCTTCGGTGGCGGCGTCTCAGATTCCTTCTTGAAGTACTTTGCGATACCAGTCGGATGGTCAATCGCCATGGTAGCTTCGTCATCTGTCGGAGGTGCCGATGATAATGATGAAAGTTCTGAATCTGAAGGCATGGTGGAAGTGATGGGGTAGGTGATGAAGGAAGAAGTAAGTTGCGCGCAATCGAGCGTCACGTCTGCACCGAGCTTGCGCCCGAAGGGCGATCAATTTAAAGGATTCCGGACACAACTGCTCCCTTTGTTTGTAACTTTTTTTTACTGAGACTTCATGTAGTCTTCTAGAAGAACCTGTTTCAAACAAATGGGATATTGGCATGAAAGCGGCTTGGATTTTGTAGATTTCTGTATAGAGATAGAGCTCAAGAGAGCTGGTGAAGAACTGATGCATTACCATTGATTATTTTCAAACAAGCAATTAAGCTAAAGATGTATAATAGCCTGGTGAGAAATGGATGCGACTGGTTGAGACGACTTTACATATCTGTTGGTTTCATACTAGAAGTAGGCGACAAGCATTGTCAACGATTTGATATTGACATCTATAATGCTTTGAGAGGCAAGTACGGCCCAAACTTATTTGGGTCTCATTTCATTGACATTCCCATCACATCCAGACCATAGATATAAATATGGAATATACAGACACAGCTGTTTTGAGGTCCGAGGAAGAGAGTAACACGCCAAAATGAGACTCTTGGCGATACCGGGTCTTGGCAATCACGTGTGAGTGCTGACATAACTTGCCCTCCCAAAATCTACAGGGCTTGCACTGAAAGAGTCTTTTCGCGCATAAAATAAAGGTTATATAGAGATTTTTGAGTAAATAGTATTTTCAAACACTGCGTTCAATGTAGTCAAACTATTTTAATCAATAAACACCATATAAATTCCACGATCAAAGGGTTATTTTAGAAATGCCTGTGTTTCTGTAGTTCAACCAATTCAAGTAAGCGACCATGCGCTATACCCGATTGGGTTAGATTAGCGACCGCACCCTAAAGCCCACACAAGTCCCCGTGTCCGATGATTTCTCAACTCGTCAACGACAAGCCTATCTTCACTTCGAGGTACGACTACCATTTTCCTACGACATTTCTGTTCGATTTCCATACTAACATAGGATCATCGTATAGACAGTCGCCATGGGTCGTGTCATCCGCAACCAGAGGAAGGGCCGTGGCTCCATTTTCAGTGAGTGCGACCGCAAACCATCCCAGCACGAAATTTCGAGGCTGCGCACCCCGAGCAGCGAGGAGGAAACCCAGAGGACCATTGGAAAACCACACAGAACTGCAAGGAGATTGGAGTGCTGATATCGAATTTTCTTTACTTTACAGCGGCCAACACCCGCCTGAACAAGGCCCCTGCCCAATTCCGGACTCTCGACTTCGCTGAGGCCCACGGTTACACCCGTGGTGTCGTCAAGGAGATCATCCACGATGCCGGCCGTGGTGCTCCCCTCGCCAAGGTCCAGTTCCGTCACCCCTACAAGTTCAAGATGATCACCGAGACTTTCATCGCCAACGAGGGCATGTACACCGGCCAGTTCATCTACGCCGGTAAGAACGCTGCCCTCACCGTCGGCAACGTCCTTCCCCTCGCCTCTATGCCCGAGGGTACCGTCGTTACCAACGTCGAGGAGAAGGCTGGTGACCGTGGTGCGCTCGGCCGTACCTCCGGTAACTACGTTACCGTTATTGGCCACAACCCCGAGGAGGGCAAGACCCGTGTCAAGCTCCCCTCCGGTGCCAAGAAGGTCATCAAGAACACCGCCCGCGGTATGGTTGGTATCGTTGCCGGTGGTGGCCGTACCGACAAGCCTTTGCTCAAGGCTGGTCGTGCCAAGCACAAGTTCGCTGTCAAGCGCAACTCTTGGCCCAAGACTCGTGGTGTTGCCATGAACCCCGTCGATCACGTAAGTTTTAGCCTACACACAGTCCCGATGACATTCAGGACCGCAATCTCTAACATTTTTCCCTACAGCCCCACGGTGGTGGTAACCACCAGCACATCGGTAAGGCCTCGACCATCTCCCGCTACGCTACCCAGGGTCAAAAGGCTGGTCTCATTGCCGCCCGCAGAACCGGTCTGCTCCGCGGTACCCAGAAGACCAAGGATTAAGTCTGCTTTTTCTTGGAGTTATTCTTGTGACGGGTTGAAAATGGAATTCTGCTATGAGACAAATGTACTTAGGCGCCTGCGGATGAGCGTCTCATGCGCCCTTAGCGAATTAAGGTTGTGGACACCATCCTTTTTCTTGTCGAACAAATAAAGGGTGATGGAAAGAGGTCCGGGGTTGGCCTCTACAGGGCAGAAACGAAATCAAAAAGCCCTTCGGGCTGTGGAATGATACACCTTTAAATTTTTCATCGTTCCTGTCCATCACCCTAGTAGATATTACAGTTTGCCGTAATTGATCGGTATATACATTGTGCTGTATGATCGTTGTCGCCATGGCTTGATGCCGATGCCATGCAGCAGTGAAGCCCAATGATTTCTTTGACTGGTTTCAACATCAGTTCCAAGATCGTGTTAGTACGCTGTGTGCTGTAAGTATATATTGGATTCCTTTAATATTGACTATCTACTATATATGAACCTAGCACCCTCGGTAATGCACCCGAGTCAGGAATTTAAGCCTCATGAAATAGGACACAGATAATTTACAGCCTAAAGAGAGTTTAAATGTTATATATGTTGTACGCCACATCAATAATACTATCCTCATTGATATGTGGTGATCCTACGCAACAGCCGTACAATCGGAAAACCGGCCTAGATGTCTGTACTACATCGATGTATTTCTGTTTTCTACAAACCTTAGAAATTGAAAATCATAGCTCCGGTGTGGTCGATGTCGTGAAGTTTGACTGGGTCATACAAGCGAAGTGGACGCGCAAATCAATACGGACTAAGAGAAATCCGATCTATCTAATCCCCGTTCTCCCCTTTGATTTCATCTCTCCTCAAATCTCACTCAACCCATATGCTGGAAGAACCATTGGAACGTTCTTCACCATGTCATCGCCACTTGATGATCAGGCTATGAGCCAGCTACAGTCTCAACAGTCAGAGCTGCTAGACAAGATTGACGAGCTGCGTGCTATTGGGATTGGAGGCCTCGTGGGGCTGCCTCAAATCATCGTCTGTGGTAATCAGTCTAGTGGAAAAAGCTCCGTACTGGAGGCAATCTCCAGAGTGCGCTTTCCATCCAAGAGCAACATCTGCACTCGGTTTGCGACCGAAATTGTTCTTCGCCGAAGCCCTACCGAAAAAATCAAAGTATCCATTGAGCCTGAGGATTCCAGGAAGGATGAGCAGGAACAACAGCGCCTCTGAGCCTTCACCTCCGCGTCCTTTTTCTCCAGTGGAGACCTTCCCACACTGATCGAAAAAGCGAAGGAATGCATGGGGCTTTCCAGCACCGATCCTTCGAGCACTGGATTTAGCGACGATGTCCTCAAAGTCGAGATCTCGGGCCCTGAAAAACCGGAGCTGACTTTGGTCGACCTTCCGGGCCTCTACTACTCTAGTAGCAGCGAACAAAACGCACAAGGAATGGAGATAGTTCAAAGGCTGACGGAAAAGTACATGAAAAGCTCCCGGAGCATCATTCTGGCTGTCATCAACGCAAGAGCCGATTACCATATCCAGTAAGTCTTGAACATCGCGCAGACATTTGATCCCAAATATGAGAGGGTCTTGGGTATTGTCACGCAGCCTAATATCCCCGAAGCGGGCTCAGAGGAACAAGAAACTTATGTACAGTTCATCAAGAATGAAAAGGTCAAGCTGCAACTTGGCTGGCATGTACTGCGCAACCGCTCGTTCGAGACGCGCGACATCTCCGATGATGCGCGAGATGTTCAAGAAAGGGAGTTCTTTGAACGGGGACGTTGGGCTTCCCTCCCTCGAGACCAAGTTGGGATTGAAAGTCTGAGGCATCGTCTTAGCAAGATCCTACTTGGTCATGTCCGTCGCAATCTTCCTGGCCTCATTGCGGACATACAAGAAAGGATCATTCGTAACGAGCAGGCACTGGCAAAAATGGGCGCGCCGCGCACAACTCTTCAGGAGCAACGCCATTTTCTTGTCGATATTAGCAGCAGATTTGCACGGATCACAAACCAGGCCTTGAATGGATCGTACGTCGATGAATTTTTCGGTGGATTCAAAGACCATACGGTGACCACAGAAGAAACTCCTTTCCGCCGACTGCGGGCAGTATTCCGTGAGCTTAATGAGTGCTTTGCTGAAGCGATGAGCATTCGTGGGAATCGGCGAATTATTCAATTCCCCGAACAACCATCGCCTGTCGAGGACGTCGAGCAAGAGAGATCCAAGCCTTACATGGATGATTGGACACCGCTGTACATTTCCCAGAAGTCTCTTATGGAAGAGATCAAAGGACAGGCCCGGCAAAGTCGAGGAATCGAGCTACCAGGTAGCGCAAACCAGCTGCTTGTGGGCAGTTTGTTCCGAGATCACTGCGAGCCCTGGGAAGAAGTTGCTAAATCCCATCTGTTGAATACCTGGGCTTCGGTCGAGTACTTTATCCAGCTGGTACTGAAAAACCTCACGGACGATCACACCCGCCCCTTGCTCATGCGGCACCTCATCGGACCGGAAATGGAGAAAATGAAGGAGTCTTTGTTAGAAAAGCTCAGTGAATTGACTTCGTACTCCAAAAGGGGCCATCCGCTCCCCGTGGGGAAATCATTTCTCTCCAAGATCCAGCAGTCCAGAAAGAACCGACAGGTTTCTGCGTTGAAAAGAACCCTCCACTTGCCTGGGTCTCACCCTTCAGCCGGAGAGGATACTCGAAACACGTTGGATGTCCGAGATCTGGAGCGAGCAACATCTCAGCTACAGTCATCCAGCGATATGTTTGCGGCAGCAGAGATCATTGATCAAATGCAGGCCTACTACGAGGTGAGCTAGATATGCTTATTGAAAATGAGATATCGAATAATTTTAACAAGCCACATTTGCAGACTGCGATCGTGACATTTGTCGATAATATTGCCATCTTGGCAATCGAAAATTGCCTTCTTTGCCCTCTAGAGCACATCTTCACCGGCAAGACTGTACTTAGTATGAATGACCAGCAGATTGGAGAAATTGCAGCAGAGCCATCGAACATTCGGAAGGATCGGGAACGTCTGAATGAAGAGCTCAAAAAGCTCCGAAAGGGAAACCAGACTCTCAATGCCTCCAGTGCGGCAGACTCTTCGCTGCGTCCTCGTCCTATCTTGGGTATGTACATTCCATATATCGGTTCATGGACCCACAGGCTAACCGGAATATCATTTCAACAGGACTGTCAAAGCCCCGAACCCAGACCCCAAGCCTTACAGACACGGCTGCTCAGGTGGCGCCCAATACTCCTCGGCCTGGGCTGTTCCCGCAAGTTTCAACTGCTTCCACTGGTAGGTAGCACTTCCAGGTATTATGTTGATATGTGCAAACGCTAATTGCTCAACCAGGGTCTGTCGCGGCTCCTTTACCGACCCTTCCTTTAAATCAAAATAAAGGAGGCATTGGTACAAGTCAGGCTTCTCTATTCCCTTCCGGTCTGGGTACAGGAAATAGCGGGTCTGGAGCTAACAATGCAGCCACTGCCACATCCAATCTGTTTGGTTCCTCGCCCGCTATAAAATTGACTACCGGGAATGTATCTGGCTTCACGGGTGGGGAGTTCGGTTCGAACAATCAAGGCGTTGGCTTGTCGTCCTCTCCATTTGGAGGTTCGACTAACCCAACTACCACAAAAAAAATGAAGCCTCGCTTTGACGCGACAACATTTCCAGATACCAAGGGATACAAGCCATTGTAAGTTGGAGGATGCACGGGAAGGGTTGTTCTAATTCTTGGTCGCTTCGTACAGGTATGAGGAGACACCGGATGTTACAGTGAACTCTTATCAAAGCATTTGCTTTATGTTTCCATTTAGTAAATACTCCAATGAGGTTTGTAGATCCTTTGCATCTGTTGAAATTTAGTAAACGATTAGTACTGTTTTGAAAAAAAGAAAAGATATTGACAACTTGGCTAGGAGCTCCGACTAGGGGACTACGCCCGAAGAGGCCTATATGTCCCGACTTCATCCTTGGGCTCACGAAAGCCGCGATAGCTTAGAAATGAATTGGTCTGGTCTAAGTGATGGATCTTTGATATGCTATCTATAACTTCTTCGCTTTTTTGTTGGATGATATGCATAGTCAGGTCAGGGTTGTACATATATATAAACTAAAGTAAAAATATATACACAAGTACTATCCCAAAATAAATTGAGATGGTAGGAATGAAATCTAACTAGAGAAACCATCTAATTCTGCATGTACATACTACATAGTATGGATGTATACCGTAAGTGATATGAGGTGCCCAGGTGTTGGGAGCTAATCTGGATGCTGATTGGTCAGTTTGAGATCAAACATCAGGTTTCCCGAGATTTCGCTCTTGGAGTTTGATGCCTCAATGGAATGAATACAATACCTTGAAGATATCTACAGTTTGAATACCCCATGAATATGACAGAACTATTAAAACAAGAGATCCCCCGACTTAGCCCGGATCCCCTCACCAACACAGAACGGTGGCAAGCCATTTCAACCCGCGACATCACAGCCAATAGCTTCGTCTACGCCGTCCTCACCACAAAAATATACTGCCGCCCGTCATGCCCAGCACGCCTAGCCCGCCGGGCCAACGTCCAATTTTACGACACCCCTCCGCAAGCAGAGAAGGCCGGCTTCCGACCCTGCAAGCGCTGCCGGCCGCATTCGGGTCAGACGGCGGCTCAGAGCAACCCCCAAACTGCCATGATTAACAAAGCCTGCGAGTCAATCCGGAACACTCTGACGACAGGGCTGAAACCAAAATTAAAAGATCTGGCAACGGAGGCTGGCTTGACACCCAGTCATTTCCATCGTGTGTTTAAGAAACATGTGGGCGTTACGCCCGGTCAATATGTAGAGAGCCTTGTGCAGAGCAACCTGCACTCGCCAGCCTCGTCACCATCCGATGCTTCAGTTGAAACTCCGCGCTCCGCCTCTGATAGGGGTGAGATCTTGGATCTAGATATGAATAGGGATAAAGGGGCTGGTCTATCGGCGGCTGGGCACGAAATCTCATTGATGGGTGGCTGGAATGAGTTCGATGCTCTGCTGGCTTCTGAATCGGAACAAATGTGGGCGCCTGACCCATTATCTATTGATCCTCGAATGATTTTGGCCGAGTGGTGATATCTTAGACCACATGATTTTACGATATGGATATTTGGAGACCGGTATATATTTTCTACCAATCACATAGCTCCCTGGGCCACTGAACGATAGTGGAAATTAACAGGATCTAAACCGTTTTCGATCGGTATTGACATTGGCATTGCGGCGATGCAATCCACTGATAGTCACTGGATCTTAATCTACTCCGTACTCCGTACATGGGCCCATTGGCGATGGATCAACTGAAACAGAATTGAAACCCGTTTCCCCCATGCACCGTGCGAGTATACGGTACTCCGTACGGAGGTACATCGTGCATTTGTATACATTAGTTCGCATATTCCAAATTTACAAGGATATTGCCACATGTATATATGTACTCATCTTATAATTCCAGACTGGACCGGTGGCAATAAAGATAATTATAGTAAAATCAAAAGCCAATGGGATTTAGTGGCCTCTCCACTACACCCACTAACGCGTGTCACGGCTTTAACCGCCAGTTTCCCATCCTGGCAGGCTATTTTAGTTTTATTTTTTTTCTTTTCATACGGATACGGACACATCTCGACTATTAAGCTGATTTTTTTTGGAATTTTTTTTCAGTTCAATGGGAAGAATAAATGAAGAATACTTTATACAATGCCCCCCAGCCATTCTCCACTGATTGACAAGATTGACAAGATCGACATTACTGCATAAAATTGTATTGGTATTGTGGCCTAATGTAGACTATTTTTCCTATATTTCCCTAGTTCCCCGTTTTATTTTATCATAATTGCGTGCCCCCAGATGATTTAATCTAACCGTTCCCAACCTCCTTTCCCCCTCTCTTATCCTAGAGCATTCTAGTTGAACATTCCCTTTTCTCTTTTTTAATCTTGCCTCACAATCGCTGGTTTCGATTATTCTTCCACATACCATTACACACATAACAACATGCACGTGAACAAGAGGATTGGCCGATTCAAACAATGGGCGGGAGAACGCATGGGCGGGGAGGCTAAGACCTGTCTCTCTGATGATTTCAAGGCAATGGAGACGGAGATGGGAGTGCGACATGAAGGTAGGAAGTGCCCTTCGCGCCTGCAGTTTATCCATACTGATCCAATCTTTAGGCGTTGACCGCATTCATAAATCCATGACCTCTTATGTCAAGGCTATCTCGAAGCGCAATGAGGGAGACGACAAAGAGAAGACCCTCCCGATTGCCCATTTGGGAAGCAGCATGGTGACCCACGGCGAAGACTTCGATGGGAACTCAGAATACGGACAATGCCTGATCAGTGAGTCCCGAAGACGACGGGGAATACGGGAGAGAAATTGCATCGCTAACAATTCGATCAGTGTTTGGGCGTACTGAAGAGCGCATTGCGCGCATCCAAGAGAGCTACATCGCGCAGGCGACTTCAAGCTGGCTTGAGTCCCTCGAAAGATCCCTGACTCAGATGAAAGACTTGCAGGTATGTCTTTCGATTTTCACGATCAATCGAAGGTTGCAAATCACGTATTAACCTATTTTCTAGCATGCTCGCAAGAAGCTTGACAGCCGCCGGCTGGCATACGATACTTCTCTCTCTAAGATGGAGAAGGCTAAGAAGGAGGACTTCCGCGTGGAGGAAGAGCTACGCTCGCAAAAAGTGAAGTACGAGGAAGCTAGCGACGACGTGCTGCGTCGCATGCAGGACATCAAAGAATCCGAACCCGACAATGTCATGGACATGGGGGTGTTTTTGGACGCCCAGCTTGAATACCATGAACGGTCCCGCGAGGCTCTCTTGCAGCTCAAGAATGAATGGGCTGGGTAAGCATTGATCTTGGCCGCTGCATCTCGTGGATACTAACACTGAAATAGGTCCAGCCAAGTGCTAGCCCCTCCCCGTCGTCCGACCCGTCCTCGTTCCAACACTGCCCACTCGTACCAGGAACGGTATGAACCATTGCAGGAAGAGACGATTAACGCCACGGAGCTTCGACCTACCATCCGATCAACCAGATCTACCACGAAACTGTACACCGAGTCGCCCCCGCGAGAGACCTATGGCAGTACCAGTGGGGTCTCGCGTCCCGTTCTCAACAGAGTTCCCACCTTCGAAGGCCCGGCTCAACTGCGACAAGAACAATCGCCAGTTGCATCGCAGTGGATTCAGCAGCGGACTGCCAGCGAGAATCTATCTGGGTTTGGACGTCGAAGCAACACTCAAGTTGGGGGTCGAATCCCTGCTGATCCTTACGCCGACCCCGAAGAGGTCAGCTCATATGGCCGTTCTAGCCCCGAGCGGATGTTTGGCGGGGGCAGGTCTATATCCCCCGCAACATCTCACGGCAGCGCGATATCCCGGAGACCCAGTGCAAACAACTTGAACACTACTGGATTGAAGAAGGCTCCTCCGCCACCTCCACCATCTCGTGCCAAGAAGCCCCCTCCACCTCCACCCATCAAGCGATCCCTTCTTGCTGCACCAAATGCGTAAGGGGATGTTCTGAAAGTGCCTTTTACGTTTGTTCTTGATCATGAGCATGGGGTTTTGGAGTTTGGGAGCTTATGATCGGTTGTGGCTGTGATTTCTATCATTCCGTCACTGATCCCTTGAGTCTTAGATGGGATTGTCCTGTCCTTTTCTTGATTGTTCTTTCTGGTTTGCTTTGCCGTGTTGGTTGATTCTCGTGGAGGTCTGGATGATTCCCCGGCTACTATTAGTCTCCATGCAGAGTTAGTAGGATGATGAGAAACGTGGATACGTGTGTCTCCTAGCGAATAGGTAAATCCATTCAAGTCTTTATTTGCATTTTGGGTGTGTAATTTTAGGTATGATCTTCGATTGTGTAGATACCCGTTGACAGCAAGGGTGGACCCGGGTGACTAGCTTGACAATGCATTGTCATTTTCCATTATTATTGCAAGGAAGACAATTCAATAGAATCAATGAATCACTTGAATAGATCAAATATTTAAGGCTTTATTTACTCTTCTCTACTAAGTTTATCCCAAACCGGTACGGTACCAGAGCTGCGCTGCCCCAGGCCACAATTCAGCACGGGTTCACGTGACAGCTGACTAAGGACCTTTGCAAAAAACTCCTTGCCAGGCTGTTGTCAGTCCTTTGCTCTGAGCACCCAGATTTCCCCGAGCCTGTCGCGCAACTCCGTTCCCTCATCTCCATTTTCATCCATCCACTTTTTGAACGCGCCATCCCAACGCGCCTTCAACTTTTGAGTTCCCCTCCCACCTTGCTTTACCCTGGGAACTCGCCTCTTTACTCGCTTTCTTTGACTCCCTTATCCCTGAAGGTATCCGCTTCCCCCATCGCATCGGAAGCTCCGACCACGGCCCCAAACATCACGCCTTCCATCGCCAAGCATCCCATAAAGTCGCCCACTGATCGCATTCACCATCAACAGGCTCACCCCACACTGTTGCTTGCCATTTATCTCGATCGCGATCGCCCCTTCTCTTGCCCGCGCGACTTGGCAATTGGAACCAGGTGGAGACCGTGACTTTCCACAACTCCGCATACATCTTGACATTGCCCCCAACCTACCTCACTTGCTCATGAATTAAAAAAAAATACACGCGTCTCAATGGCTTCCTTACACCCAGCGCCTAACATGGCGCCTGGCAACGTGAGCTTGCCACCTAACCTCACGCAGCAAAATGTCCAAGAGATACTTCAAGTAAGTTTGTCGCATTACAACAACACACCTCGCTGTATATCAATTCTTTGATTCCTCAATGCGCCTTACTATGCCTTGCTCACCCTTGCTGTCGTCTCTAACCTTTATCACAGAAATACAAGCAAATGCAAGAGCAAGGTGTTCGCCCTGATGACCCGGAGTTTATCAAGGCCCACAACCTACTTGCTGCCATTCAACGGCAACAGGCTTTCCAAAAGCAACAGCGCATGGCCCAGCAGCAGGCCCAGCAGCAGCGCCAACAGCAACAGATGAACGGCGCTACTCCTGAAGCTGCCAATGGCTCTCATGGTAAGCTTGGCATTGACTCTCCTCGTCCCCCTCTAGACCCAAGGCCTTCTACAGAACTGACATATGTTCCTATAGGTCGCACACCCTCGGCTTCCTCCACTGCTGCCACACCCAATACCACCAATGCCGCGGCAGTTGCTCTGAACCAGAAGAACGCGACGGTTGGCAGTGGTAGCTTTTCACCAGAGCAGCTAGCTACTCTTCGAAACCAAATCTTGGCTTTCAAGATGCTATCCAAGAACCTCGCCATTCCCCCGCGTGTCCAAGAACAGCTTTTCCAAAACCAGAAGAAGTCTCTACCTCCTACTCCCACAGAGAACGTCACCGCAGCCGAAAAGATCATCGAAGCTGCCACTGACGGTGCTGGCAGCCAGCCTCCAGAAAGCTCAGATGCAGAAGTCATGACCAGGGAGTGGTATGACAACTTCCAATCTCCTTACGACTCGCTCTCCAAGACCATTAGCTACACTGACCACGCCAACCGTGCAAATCGTGTGCGCATCCCCGCTCTCTTGCCACCGGGAATCGACTTGGAGCAGATTCGCGAAGATCGTGAGATCATACTGTATAATAAAATCACCGCCCGCAAAGCAGAGCTTGCTCAACTTCCTGCCAACCTTGGGGTATGGGATACAAGCAAGAGTGACGCACCAACCTACGATGACTCCCTCAAGCTCAAGGCCCTGATCGAGTACAAATCACTTAGTCTTTTACCCAAACAGCGACAGTACCGCAAGCAACTCCAGAGCGAGATGTTCCACTACAGTAATCTTGGAATGACCGCAAATCGCTCGAGTCACCGTCGCATGAAGAAGCAGTCACTGCGCGAGGCTCGAATCACTGAGAAGCTTGAGAAGCAACAACGTGATGCTCGCGAATCTCGAGAGAAGAAGAAGCAGTACGATCAGCTGCAAGCCATCCTCAACCACAGCGCTGATCTCGCCAATGCTTCCGTCCAGCAACGTGCGCGCTCGCAGAAGCTGGGTCGTATGATGATCTCACACCACCAGCACATGGAACGCGAGGAGCAGAGGCGTGTGGAGCGAACCGCCAAGCAACGTCTGCAGGCCTTGAAGGCCAACGATGAGGAGACATACCTCAAGCTTTTGGGACAGGCCAAGGATTCACGTATCTCTCATCTACTCAAGCAGACCGACAATTTCCTTAAGCAGCTTGCGGCCTCCGTCAAGGAACAACAGCGCAACCTGGCGAATCGTTATGGTGAGGCGCATGATTACGACGATGAGTCTGACCAAGAGATCGCGGATAGCGAAAACGAGGGAGACAATCACACGGCCACTGGAAAGAAGAAGGTCGACTACTATGCTGTTGCTCACCGCATCAATGAAGAAGTCACCACGCAACCCGAAATGCTTGTGGGAGGTACCCTCAAGGAGTATCAGATTAAGGGCCTGCAATGGATGATTTCACTGTACAACAATAACCTGAACGGTATTTTGGCTGACGAGATGGGTCTTGGAAAGACGATCCAGACGATCAGTTTGATTACCCACATCATTGAAAAGAAGAAGAACAATGGGCCGTTCTTGGTCATTGTTCCACTGTCCACGCTCACTAATTGGAACAACGAGTTTGATAAGTGGGCGCCTGGCGTGAGCAAGGTAGTCTACAAGGGCCCGCCCAATGCACGGAAGCAGCAACAGCAGCAGATCCGTTGGGGCAACTTCCAAGTTCTCCTCACCACTTACGAGTACATCATCAAGGATCGTCCGGTCCTCAGCAAGATCAAGTGGACACACATGATTGTCGACGAAGGTCACCGCATGAAGAATACGCAATCCAAGCTCAGCAGCACTCTCTCAACCTACTACACCAGTCGGTACCGTATCATTTTGACCGGTACCCCCCTGCAGAACAACTTGCCCGAACTTTGGGCTCTTCTTAACTTCGTCCTCCCCAACATCTTCAAGTCTGTCAAGTCGTTTGATGAATGGTTCAACACACCTTTCGCAAATACTGGTGGCCAGGACCGCATGGATCTGAGCGAAGAAGAGCAACTTCTCGTTATTCGTCGTCTTCACAAGGTTCTTCGGCCATTCCTTCTCAGACGTTTGAAGAAAGATGTCGAGAAAGATTTGCCTGACAAGCAGGAGCGTGTCATCAAGTGCCGATTCTCCGCCTTGCAGGCCAAGTTGTACAAGCAACTTGTTACCCATAACAAGATGGCTGTCACTGATGGCAAGGGCGGTAAGACTGGAATGCGTGGTCTCAGCAACATGCTTATGCAGTTGCGAAAGCTTTGCAACCATCCTTTCGTATTTGAGCCTGTTGAAGACCAGATGAACCCCACTCGCATGTCCAACGACCTTCTTTGGCGTACGGCAGGAAAGTTCGAGCTGCTTGATCGTGTCCTTCCCAAGTTCCGTGCTACGGGTCACAGAGTCCTGATGTTCTTCCAGATGACTCAGATCATGAACATCATGGAGGATTTCCTTCGCCTCCGTGGGATGAAGTACCTCCGTCTGGACGGATCCACCAAGTCCGACGACCGATCGGAACTTTTGAAGCAGTTCAACGCTCCTGGATCAGACTACTTCTGCTTTTTGCTTTCCACCCGTGCAGGTGGTCTTGGTCTTAACCTGCAGACTGCAGATACTGTTATCATTTATGATTCGGATTGGAACCCTCACCAGGATTTGCAAGCCCAAGATCGCGCCCATCGTATTGGTCAGAAGAACGAGGTCCGCATTTTGCGGCTTATCAGTTCTAACTCGGTCGAAGAGAAGATTCTCGAACGTGCACAGTTCAAGTTGGATATGGATGGCAAGGTTATCCAGGCCGGAAAGTTCGATAACAAATCCACCAATGAAGAGCGAGATGCACTTCTCCGAACTCTCCTGGACACGGCAGAGGCTGCGGAACAGATCGGTGATCACGACGAAATGGATGATGATGAACTCAATGAAATTATGGCCCGATCCGAAGAAGAAATTCCCATCTTCCAGGAGATGGACAGGCAGCGAATCGCCAATGACCAATATGGTCCCGGCCACCGCTACCCTCGACTGATGTGTGAGCAAGAATTGCCTGAAATTTATATGCAGGAGGATAATCCTGTCACTGAAGAAGTCGAGATTGAGGTCACTGGCCGTGGTGCTCGTGAGCGTAAGGTGACCAAGTACGATGATGGTCTCACCGAAGAGCAGTGGCTGATGGCAGTGGACGCCGATGACGATACTATTGAAGAAGCGATCGCACGTAAGGAAGCTCGTGTGGAGCGTCGCAAGTCTAACAAGACTGGACGTGACGGAGAGGACTCTTCACCTGAGCCTGAGCCATCTATTATTGATGAGGACGACACTCCTCAAAAGCAGAAGCGCCGTCGCGGTCCTCCCCCAAAGCGCAAGGCTGAGGAAGTTGTGGAAGAAACCCCACAACCTAAGCGCAAGAGAGGCCGCCAGCCTAAAGTTCCGGACACTCTCAATCCCACTGACCGTGCCAACTTGACTCGCATTCTTGATACTGTCATCCAGTCGTTGATGGACATGGAGGCCGAGGTCCAACCGGAGGGCTCTGATAGTGAAGAGGGCCCCATGGTCCGTTCCATCATCGAACCATTCATGAAGCCTCCGCCACGCTCTTATTATCCCGACTACTACATGATTATTCAAAATCCCATTGCTATGGATGCGATTCAGAAGAAGGTCAAGCGGGCCGATTACCAGAGCTTGAAGCAATTCCGTGACGACATCCACTTGCTTTGCCAGAATGCCCGCACTTACAACGAGGATGGCAGTGTGCTATTCCAGGATGCCAATGATATCGAGGTAAGCTTGAACTTCTATTTAATTATTACTTCTCATACTAATGATGCAACAGACCAAGTGCTTGGTGGAATTGCGACGATTGACCGAGGACCATCCTGAGCTCGCCAACTTTGAAGATCACTACACCGGCGGTGATGGCTCGACCGAGTTTGCCTCGGGCGCCGACACTCCGCTTACTGCTGGCACTCCAGGTCAGCCGAAGCTGAAGCTCACCTTCAACAATCCCAACCGGGATAGTCCCAGCAATTCAAATGGCAATGAGTACGGTTTTGGAGAGTGAGTTGTTCAACATCGTGGGGCTTGACAACCTAATTAAACAACCCCACGCTTCATATCGCGCCTGCGACTTCTCATGCCGCTTGTGCTTTCTTGTCATGTGTAATCCGAAAATACTTTTTCTTTCTCCTCTGTGCCATCTAGGAAAGGCGTTTTTCCCGTGAATGTTTTGTTTTTGAGGGGATGGACTTCCGGAGGATGGCGCTGTATTGTTCCAAGCGATTGATTTCCCTGGGTGCGTTGTCTTGACTGCATGGACAAGCTTCATTTTGCCCAAGACCACCCCTGTATTTGATGAGTATGTACCTGCAAGCTAGGAACAATTCGAATCGATTTGAACCATATATTTTGTACAATTTGAAAACAGATGTTTTCAAAAACCCAAATTCGATACGGATGGGATGCATGCATATTGCTCACCGTTCTTTGAGATCAACATGGTAAGGTATAAGAGATGGCCCTTCCTGTTTATACGCAGACTTTCTACCCAGTCTTCACCTCGCAACCATGTCTAAAAACAAAGATCTAGCCGGCAAAGTCGCAATAAGTAAAGTCTACGTCAACACCCCAAGTCAACACACTAAAAAACAACAGTCACAGGCTCCAGCCGCGGCATCGGCGCCGCAATAGCCCTCAAATTCGCCCACCGCGGAGCAGACATAGCCATAAATTACCACTCCAATGCCACGGCAGCCGAGGCCATCGTCGAGCAGATTCGTGCCCTAGGCGTGCGCGCCCTCGCCTTCAAAGCCGACGTCTCACAGGAAGAAGAGGTGAAAACTATGTTCGAGACTGTACACCGCGAATTCGGCCGTCTCGACATTGCAGTCAGCAACTCGGGGATCGAGCATTTCGGAGATCTCTCCGAGGTCAAGGGTAGCGATATCGACGCTGTCTTTGCGGTTAATGTTAAGGGACAATATTTCGTCGCTCAACAGGCTTATCGTTTCATGGAGGATTATGGGCGGGTTATGTTGACATCGTCGATTTCAGCTGTGAAGGTAAGAGGAGTGGACACGGACTCTAGTGGTTTGGTGTTTTGGATTGTATGGGAGCTGACAACTTCTGATGCGATTTAGGGCGTCCCTCGCCATGCTGTATATGCTGCCTCCAAAGCGGCTGTACAGGGTATGACCAAGTGTCTAGCGATGGATTTTGGTCCGCGAAATATCACCGTGAATTGCATTGCTGCTGGCGGTGTCAAGACTGATATGTATGCTGAGATGTCGGCGAAGTATATCCCCGGTGGCGAGAAGATGAGTCCCCAGCAGATCGATGAGGCTTTGAGCAAGTGGTCTCCGCTGGGTCGGCCTGGGGAAGTTGAGGATGTTGCTGGGGTTGCCTCTTTGATTGCTAGTCCTGAGTCGCAGTGGTTGACTGGGCAGACTTGGCAGGTATCTGGTGGTGCTTATATGGTGTAGATGGGATTGAGAATGGGACTAAGCCACTCATATATTAGAGGCAAAGATATCACATGATCTGTCTAACCTTTGTTGATTCATCTCTCGATAGCCAATGCCAGTATCTTAAGTAAAGTCACTTGGGTTCCGTGTTATTTCTCAACATGGCACTACAGACGATCCGGTCCATTTTCAAAAGATCCCCTTCTAGCTCATTCCAGATTTTATCTGACCTACATCTGGAAATCAATCAACAATATTCCTTTGAAATTCCCGTTTGCTCCAAATACCTTATCCTAGCAGGCGACATCGGCCGTCTGGAAGATTACAACAATTATCGTGACTTCCTACAAAACCAAACAATGAAATTTGAACTCGTTTTCTTGGGCCTTGGAAACCACGAATTCTACGAGACGACCTTCACCTCCGGCCTCGAAAAAGCAAAACAGCTCGAAAAAGAACCTTGCATGAATGGCCGTCTGGTATTACTCCACCAACGACGATACGACATCCCCGACTCCCACATGACAATCCTAGGCTGCACACTCTGGTCCCAAATCCCCCAAGAATCAGCGGACATAGTCCGTTCCAAAATCTCCGATTTCCAAAAGATCAAAGAATGGTCTGTCGAGTAACACAACAAAGCGCACGAATCCGACTTGACCTGGTTAAGGAGTGAGATCCAAACTCTTCGGGAGACCCAGGAAAAGCGGTCTATCCTGGTGGTCACGCATCATGCACCATCCCTGCAGCGCACTTCGAGTCCATAGCACGCTGAGAATTTGTGGAGTTGTGCGTTTGGAACGGATCTTTTGTCGCAGTCTTGGGATGGAGTCAAGATTTGGGTATTTGGGCATACGCATTATACGACTGAATTTAAGGAGAGGGGGATTAGTGTTGTGAGTAATCAACGGGGATATGTGCTTCCTTGGAAAACTGAAAAGGGGAATTTTGATGTGAGGAGGGTGGTATCGGTATGACTGATAGTCGCATGACTTAGAGTCGTAGCGACACCTATGGAGGGGAGAAGGTGCTTATTTTTAATTATAGAAGCACAGAAGCCAGGCTTCGACGAAGATGAGGTTTGATAGGACATCGCTCTTGATATCAAACTGAACAAACAGAGCAAAACTGTAGGTATGATGTCATCCTATCGTGTCTATATAATCACGGCTGTACCTAGAGCGGTCTCTCATATGTTGCACAATTCCAACTATTCAGTCCTATTGACATTCACCATGAAAGCAATCGTCATCGAAAAGTTCGACGGACCCGATTCTCTAGTAATCAAAGATGTGGCCACCCCAGAGCCAAAGCAAGGAGAAGCCATAATAAAAATCAAAGCCTTTGGAATCAACCATGCAGAAATGCACATGCGAAAGGGAGAATGGGCGGAATGGATGCCAATCAGCGGTATCGAGTGTGTGGGCATAGTATCCAGCTGTCCAGGAGGAGAATTCAAAGAAGGAACACCCGTCGCAAGTCTGATGGGCGGGCTTGGGCGTACTATTGACGGTAGCTACGCTGAATACACCCGAGTCAAAGTCTCGAATGTTGTTGCACTTGGACCAGCTGCAGAAGAACTAGGTTGGGACCAGCTGGCGGCCATCCCGGAATCATATGCCACGTCGTGGACCTGTCTTTTTCGGAACCTGGAGATATCAGCTGGTCAACGACTTCTTGTTCGCGGTGGTACCTCTGCTTTAGGGAGAGCAGCAATTAACCTGGCCGTTCAGGCTGGAGTTCATGTTACCGCGACAACCCGAACGAAGAACCGTATGCCCCAACTCAGGGCTCTTGGGGTTGAGAAGGTATTGATAGAAGGAGCATGTCTTTCCGAACGTATTTCTGATAAGTTCGATGCTATCCTGGAACTTATTGGTAATAGCACTGTTGTTGATCACTCAAGATGGCGCGCAGAGGAGGACGGGTTTGTCTGGCCGGGTTCTTGGGTGGACTTGCGCCCATTCCAGACTTTAATCCTCTTGTGCAGATGGCGAGTGGTGTCCACTTTAGTTTCTTCGGGAGTTTTGTCTTTGGAACGCCTGAGTTCCCTTTGTCGGATGTTCCTTTTCAGGAGATAGTAGCTATGGTGGCGCGAAAACAATTTAATGCGGATCCTTGGAAAGTCCTTCGTTTTGAGGAAATTCAACAGGCCCATCGTTTGATGGAAGGCAATGAGGCACATGGCAAGATGGTGGTTAAGATTGATTGAAACAATAACTTACGGTATTTCTGTCTATATGTGTGAAAATGCAAGTTCGTTCTTAGTATTTCTTCCCTCAAGTCTTGGAGGGCTCTACTTTCATCTGCCCCGAGTGTCAAGTAAATAAGTTAATCCAATAGTTTCACTGATGGCTATAAGTTTCCCGAACTAGACCGCGTTGATAGTGGATATTTGCTTTAAGAATCCTTGATCTGATAACGTCCGTTAGCTTACGTGTGATTTCATGGGTCACTACAAAGCCCCTACCTCCTTAAATCAGATAGCGGCATGGGTGTTTACGTGGGTCATTGATCTTGTTTCGACGGGGTAGCTAGTTAACGCAGGACTGTCACTACGTAGATACCCCGACGATTGACCGACAACAGGAGGAGGATGAGAAGACGTCCAATCTAGTCAGCCATTGCCAAAGGGCTGCCAAGTAGAATGGGCCGGATGTCAATGCCTCCGAAGAAGTGTCACAGTTGAGCGACTACTGGAAAAGGATTGAAGCGAAAGATCTAGCCTTTGTCGTTGAACAGTTATACGTAATTAGCCCCTCTGCTATTCAGAAAGTCAATTATAGCTACTCCGTACCTTGTATGGACATCATAATTACTAGGGCCGAAGTTTAACCGCATACCATGAGGCTGATACTTCCTAGATCTATGGATGGCCACGCGTACGTTTGGGAATGACGCGTTCGCCGGACCATGGATGGGTTTTAGGGTTAGATCTTAAGCATAAGGGAATAAACCTTACCCGGTCATATCAAACTCAAAATAAACCAGGGACCTCCTGTCCCATTACTGGTGGACAAGTCTCTCTGAGGAAATGAATTACTCCGTACCCCTTAATTCGGAAGCTTGAGTTGAACTACACGTTGGGCTATGGGGATCCGTTTCCCTTCACGTTCTATTTAGAACCTAGTCTCTTGTAATGGGTGTTAGATGACGACTAAGGATCCACGCCGACATAGCCTGATCTCCGGTTCCAGGTGTGGTTTCATGGTTTAATTGTAGGTAACGTAGCGGGTTAACGCATGATCTGCACTTCAGTTGCGAGAAACTGAAAACCAACCATCATCAAGTAGAGTCCTAAAGATGTTATAAGTATAGCCCTACCTCTGGCATTCCTGTCAATTCCCTAGGTCTTTACGCTCGTTTAATTTTCTTCTTGACACTCGTTTATTCTATTTTGTATCTATCCATTTGATATACTTCATCATGCGTCTCTCCTGGAGCGCATCTGTTGCAGCCCTGGCAGCATCGGCAAGCGCTGCTTCGCTTGCTGATGTCTGTACCGTCTCGAATGTGCAGTCTGCCCTGCCTTCCAATGGCACTTTGCTCGGTATTAACATGATCCCATCGGCTGTGACTGCAAGTGCTGTCTACAATGCCAGCGCTGGTATGGGGAGCACTGAGACCTACACCTACTGCAATGTGACCGTCACCTACGAGCACACCGGCAAGGGAGACTCCGTCGTCATCAAGTATGCCTTCCCCAAGCCCTCCGACTTCAAGAAGCGCTTCTATGTCGCCGGCGGTGGTGGCTTCTCTCTGTCCAGCGATGCAACCGGTGGTCTCGAGTACGGTGCTGTTAGTGGTGCCACTAGCGCAGGCTACGATGCCTTCAACTACAGCTACGATGACGTGGTTCTATACGGCAACGGAACCCTCAACTGGGATGCAACCTACATGTTCGGATACCAAGCTCTAGGCGAAATGACCAAGATTGGAAAGGCCCTTACCAAGGGCTTCTATGGCATGTCTTCCTCCGCCAAGGTCTACACCTACTACGAAGGCTGTTCTGACGGCGGCCGCGAGGGTATGAGCCAAATCCAGCGCTACGGAGAGGAATATGACGGAGCGATCACTGGAGCCCCGGCGTTCCGCTTCGGTCAACAGCAAGTCCACCACGTCTTCCCAGCTACAGCCGAGCAAACCCTCGACTACTACCCCCTCCCTGTGAGCTGGCGAAGATAGTCAACGCCACCATCGCCGCCTGCGATCCCCTCGACGGCCGAACTGACGGCGTCATCTCCCGCACAGACCTCTGCAAGCTCAACTTCAACCTAAGCTCCATCATCGGCGAGGAATACTACTGCGCAGCAGAAACCAGCACCTCCCTAGGTTTCGGCTTCAGCAAGCGCGCCGACGGCACAAGCACCTCCTACCAGCCCGAGCAGAGCGGCAAAGTCACCGCTCAAGGCGTGAAAGTCGCGCAAACCATCTACGACGGCCTCCACAACTCAAAGGGCGAACGCGCCTATCTATCCTGGCAAATCGGCTCTGAGCTCAGCGACGGCGACACGCAGTGGAACAACGCATCCAGCAAATGGGAAATCAGCATCCCCTCCACTGGCGGCGAGTACGTGACCAAGTTCATCCAGCTCCTCGACCTATCCAACCTATCCAACCTCGAAAACGTCACTTACGACACCCTCGTCGAGTGGATGAATACCGGAATGATCCGCTACATGGACAGTCTACAGACCACCCTGCCGGATCTAACTCCGTTCCAATCTTCCGGCGGAAAACTGCTACACTACCACGGTGAATCGGATCCTAGTGTCCCCGCTGCGTCTTCAGTGCACTACTGGCAGTCCGTCCGCTCGGTCATGTACCCGCATCTTTCTGCACGGGAAAGTCTCAAGGAACTTGCCGATTGGTACCAGTTCTACCTCATCCCCGGTGCTGCGCACTGCGGTACGAATACCCTCCAGCCAGGCCCGTTCCCGGAGGTTAATATGCAGACTATGATTGACTGGGTCGAGAATGGGGTTAAGCCTTCTCGGTTGAATGCGACTGTCTCGTCTGGTACTTATGAGGGTGAAACTCAGATGCTTTGCCAGTGGCCTACTCGTCCGCTTTGGAAGAGTAACAGCTCGTTCGAGTGTGTCGATGATAAGGCTTCGATTGATAGCTGGACTTACTCTTTCCCTGCTTTCAAGCTTCCTGTGTACTAGGTCGTGTTTTATGTATAAGGTGCCTCTGAGATGCCAATGATGTTTCTCGCTTGAGTGGATCGAAGACTGGATTGGAGATTGGAGATTGGATTGCTGATCAGCCCTAGTTCAGCCCTAGAGGGGTCTGGATTTCTGACTAAGTTGGGATTCTACTTTCATTATATCCTGCTGAATACCTTTTTCTGTCTATCTTACAAGGTGGATGTGAGATCCTTTTGGTACATAGCATGTGTGTCTCAGCATGAAATGCCACTCATTGATGGCCAAGGACATTGCATGAATTTGGCTACGCCCGTACGTTGTACAACGTTGTAGGTCTTAAAAATTTCTCGGATGTGAGTACATGTGAAGATATCGAATTGGGCTACAAGACCCACCTAGGCATGTAGTAATATTAGTCTACAAATACTACTGGCGTCCGAGATATTTGAGAATTTTCAATTTTCGTTTCACATCTATAAACTATATCCAAAAAGAAATCTGATTTGTGCTTTGTAATTTTGTACTTTGCAATTTGTTCAGCATAAAAACTCCCCCTGTAACCCAAAGGTATATCCAACTAAACACCTAGAATCAAAGCCCAAGCAACTCTAACCGAGAGTGAGAGTGTAGGCGGCATTGATACCGCAAGCCAAGGTATTGACATCATCAGGAAGCTGGTAGGACTCTACACAGTTGGCATCACCAGGAGCGCAAGTAGAGGTGGGGCAGGACTCGTCGTCGATGGTGACAGCGAATCCGGCGTTGACGAACTCGGAGGTCTTGGACAGGTTGATGGAGGACATATCCCAGAAGAGGACGTCACCGGACTGGGTGTACTCGAACTGCAGGACGTCGTCGCAGGCTTCGGTGGTGGACATCTTGATGGAGATACCGCCGCCGTTGGAGTTGGTGAGCCAGGTGTCGTGGAAGGTCTCGCCGGATGCAAGGGTCTGCATTTCACCGGGGTTCTCGGTCACGACCCACAGGTAGACGGTTTGCGGGAGGTTGTTGACGATGGAGACGCCGCTGCCGGTGGCGGGAGCGCTGCTGCTGGTGCTGGAGGGAGCGACGGTGCTTGACGGGGCGACGGTGGTAGTTGGCACAACGGTGGGCACAACGGCAGGGACGACCAGAGTTGGGATGCTGGTGGTGGTAGGGACAGCGGGGGTCCAAGTTGAGGTGGAAAGAATGGCGTTCTCCTGGACGGGGAGGTTGGTGGGCGTATTGATCAAAGTGGCAGTCTGGTAGACGGTTTCGTAGACAGTCTCCCAGACGGTCTCGACATCGCGAACCGCGACGGGGAGGGCGGAGGCAGTTGCTGCCAGAAGGGCCGAGAGGCCGATAACGTTGAAGCGCATATTGGCTTAATGAATTTGATATTGGAGAGAAAGTGTTGAGGATGTCTTGGAAAGAGGTTTGAAAGAGGGACTTTAGTCTGATCTACAGACTGTTAAAGATAGTGTAATGAGGCTCAACCCCAAGGTAAGAATCTAAATGAGTGTGATTCGAAAGAACGTGTTAGAGAGAAGGAAAGAGGAGAAGGAGGGCATAGCGCCATTTTATTCTTTGGGGTGGAGTAAATGGACTATAGGGCATTGGGCGTGTCAGATTTTGGTGTGGCAGGCGTTTGATAGGCCGTCAAGCCCATTGAGCCATAAATTTGGGTTAACCATGTGTATCCATGTGCTCGGTGCCTGACTAGACCGTATCATTCCTAATGATCCTATTGGTGACCATTGTTAGTGTCAGGTACAGAGATCTGGTCGGACCAACCCGAATGAATTCGCCAATAATGTTACCATGGGTGGCGTAGTTCCTGAACCGCGAATTTAAGTTTTCCTTATTGTTCGATTCTTCGCTGTTCGTTGTGACTTGTTCGGCCACCACTAGCTTGTATTGTGGATATAGGCGCTAGGTCTAGATCAAATCATAGCCCACAGAGAGTTCGGACAAAAAGTTTTCAACTGCGCCTGTATTCTTCTCATTTGGTATTTTAATTTTCTAAGCTTATAGAATTACGCCACCTGTCTGACATCCGCCCCTGAATATCATTTCTTGTGCCTATCTACCATGCATAATATAATATCAATATAAGTACTCCGTAAATCCCCTGGAGTTCTCCAGAGATCGACTTAATCAAAGCTTATCTCTTAGGCCGAAACGGGTTGGGAAGGTCGTTAGATTATCACTTTAGCCCTAGTGTCTACTTTGTACAGTGCCCAGTCTAGCCCATGGATACGAGATTAGGTCACGTCCCGTAGTTTTATTCTGATGCTCTACGTGGTACATGGTCAGGCACACGGGAAGTTCGGAACTTCCCACCTCTTGACGCCACTTCGGTGTATTTAGGCATCGGATTCCTAGAAAACTCTGCCGGAATTTATCATGCCAAGCCCTGGACAGGTGGCAACCCGTACACCGTCCACCCAACACACCATATTTTCATGAATCAATAAATCGGTACCGTACAAATGCATCCTATAATCCCCTCAATACACCCAAGGACGGCTGTGGCGATTTACCCGCCAAGCCATGACCCGCTCATCCATAAGAAAATTTGTATGTTGTATGTTGTACATGTAAAGGTAACACTGTTCAGGGACTGGCCCCGAAGGCGATATCATTGGGGAAGACGGAGGATTTTCGGGCAGCCTTGGTATTGGAAACACGGCCGTCGGTTAAAAGTCCGTGTTTCTCAGACCCTGTACTGCTGCCAGCCGACGGGCCACCCCGGCTATAGGTTTCCAGCGCATTGAACACATAGCCGAACACTTGGCGGTCAACATCGGAGGCCCACAAAAAGTCTAGATGCTCGTAGGTTGGAATCGCCTGGGCCACAGTGTCGTGCGGCAACCCCTTCAGCATCACTCCGATATCAACGAGACTGTCGCTGTCGCCGTACAGGAGGACAATGGGAGTCTTGATGTTGCGAGTAGGGTATTTGACCGGTTTGTAAAAGCGCTCGCTGGCAGTCATGCTGAAGGGCGCGTAGATTTCATCATCGTAGAACTGGAAACTCTTATTCCGAATGATTTGGAACCAATGCACGACAGACTTGGTGCTGGTGAAGGAATAAAGATGCAAATAAGCAGCAAGCTTTTGTGTTTGACTGATGTTGCGACACTTCCAGTTGAAGAGGGCTCTGAGTGCTGTGTCGATGATGCGCACAAAGATTGGCGGGTAGAGTATCGTCTGCCACATGGTCGTCGACGACAGGATGCTGCGTCGACCAAACAATAGGAACAAAAAGTCCGGAGAGGCTTTCATCAGTGAATCAACAATGCGATTGCGGAGGCCCGAAGGAGCCATGGCGGGTGCAAGTGCCACAAACACATCAATCTTCTGGTTGAGCAATGGATGAATAGCGAGTGTAGCGAATGCCTGCGCTGTTCCCTGGGAGAATCCAATGTAAGACAACGATGGCTGATCTGTTACCTCGAGGATGTACTCGATGCTGTTGGGGATATCAGAGAAGGCGAACTGATCAATAGAGAAGTCCCAAAATTCATTCGAACCAGGCGAGAATCGGATCGACTTCTTAGAGTATTTGTTTCCACGGTTGTTCCCCAGCCATACATCGTATCCCTTTTCTACCAGCTGGAAGGGCAGGCACCGCTGCTCGTCTGTCAAGGCTACCCACACCTCACTTGACATGAGTAGGCCGTGGTGGAGGTAGACAACCTTTTTCCGAATCCCACTGGGACCATGATTGACACGCATGTTTTCTTCTCCTTTTCGATATGCCAGCCGATGAAGTCCAAGAAGGTATCCATCGTTTGTTTGTACGATGTGTTCCTCGGCTTGATACCCAAAGAGAGCACATATCTCGGTGAAATCAGATGCGTCTGCAACAGAGCTGGCAAATATTTCCTCTTTTGTACGCTTGGGACGGGATTCATTAGGGATCAAAAGGTTGAAAAGTGCTTTGGATTGGCCATAGCAAAATTTAATGATAGGGTTTGCTGGTTAGGGGTTAGTGTTGATATCATCCATTGTTTGGTGATTTTCACTGACGAAGGCACCATGTAATTAAGTGAATGATTGTCTCAAGCAGGACAAGAATCAAAGACCCGAAGAGAGCCAGGTACTCATACCTAGATGCGTGAAGATCAGTTGCTGTATCCTTTGTTAAAGCTTGAGGTTCCTTACCAGAACAGTCTTCCGATTAACGGAACTCGTGCCATAATGAAAGACAATTGCCATGCATATGCGCAGGTACAGTTGAAGATTTTATGCAAGAGACCGTGATGCAGCAAACAATTTAAAGCGCAAAACAAGTGATGAAAGTCCCTCGACGTCATTATCGACATGTGATAGCGGTGCTTATCTCATCCGGGGATTCCCCACATCCACCAATCAGCGTCGAGATAACTGATAGCCTGAATTTGCCGTGTCCCACCCGTGGACGGCCGCGTTCTTTCGATCTTTTACTGTTTGTGGTTGCGCATTCGTCCACAAGGTCGTGTCAACATGCCCAGTTCATGCAATGATATCCGTACGTTACACCCCCGAGTCGCACAACCGTTTAAGGGAGCGTCACGTTTCTAGCCCAGCTGGACCCTATACTGCAACCCTCCATTGCCTAAAACGCAAACTGATCACAAATTGTTTATCTAGGGGAGGCTCTGGCCCAATGCCTCCAGGAGTCGGACTGCATCATGGTCCAGCGTCACACGCCCCGTGAATGCCTCAGCTCTCCTCTCGCCGAGGAGTTACCCATGAAATGTCAGCAGTTGCGGAAAGGATTCAGCGAGTGCAAGTGAGTCGGGAACCGAGCCTTGAGTCTAGGCCGACCATTATGGATAAAAGGAACACCCTCGCTAATCATTGGAATCTCCCTCGGCACAGGCGTGGTCTGATCGATATGCGCAAGCGCTTCCGTGGCAATCAGCCCATCTCGGTAAACAGGGATGTGGAGGGCGGGAAACCCAGCAACTCGTCTGGGGGACAGCTATATGCTGGACAACCTGCATACCAGTCGGTCAAGGAAATCAGCGGGAATGAAGTGGAAATGGATCCAGAGAAGACAAGGGGCCTGTAAAAAGGGTTTTTGGATTCGCTGATTACATGCTGGCATGGCCCGGAGTTCGGTTACGCTTAAAACATACATTTCTGATACTCATTTCTTTCGAGATCGACTGAGTTTCTTCATACCCAAATCCGATAATATATATTACATCTTCACTATCTCTCCCAGAACACCCACCGGACGACCGGGCATACTCCAGAACGGCGAATGCGAGCGATAGGCGGTGGTTATTGTCAGGCCCGTCCATCCTCGAGGCAAAGAAGTCCCGAGTAGCTGGCGGCAGGGCCCGATCTTTCTCGCAGATGATGTAGGAGCAGGATATCGCGCCACGGCTCATATGTGTTTTCACCGGAGAATACCGCACGCGAGGTGTGCCATTGTCGTGTGATTCCATTTTTCTTGCTCCTCGATGGTCAAATCTTGCCAGCCAACGTCGCCGGTGCCTTCGGCGTGAACGTAGTCGCCCTTTTTCTTGATCAGCTTGATCTTGTACAATGATACTGATGATACGATGCTGGATGGACCAACCTCGACCTTCATCTAGGGTAAATAGGCTCCGCCCAATATTCCCAGCAAGCTCTGTGCTTTGTCTAGCATCAGGGCAACTAGATAGACAGCCTTCACCGTGCCTCCCGGTTTCCCGCTCTGTGCAAACATGCTTCACCAAGCCCTCGCCAGCTGTGGAAGCTACGATACCCCCATAAATTCACCGGTTGCTTTGGCTTCTTTTGATTCACGTACTATCAGAATCCTGTCCTCCCCCCATGAGAAGACAAGTACTATTACTATAGTATCGTTTCGACCACCTACCGCTTCAGTCTCATTTCCATCTTTACTAGGGTTGATATAGCCTGGACTCTACATATAGAGCTGGACAACTGTAGGCTCCGGATTACAGATAAAACCCCAGAGATATTTGTATGTTCGCCCGGTAGAGAATTAACAGCCAATAACAATCTGGATCATACTACGTTCCTCAATTTCAGTTTCAGTTTGTCGAACCCGGGGCAAGTCACCCAAGTGTATTAGCGGGCTAAGCCACTATCTAGATTCTCCTGGGTATAATGGAATAATGTAATCAAATGAAAGATGGATGGTAGTTTACCCCCGTAAATACATAGGCCAGACAAGTAAAATCCGATATCCATATGAAGAGGACGGTTCTCTGCAGTTAGGATAGGCCTTCTATACTCCTACCATCGAAAGATTTGTTGTGAGGATGTTGACATCCACATCGATATTGTATAACAAGCGAACACATGGAGGACGGAAGGGAATAGGAGGATATCATATCATTGAGAATTGGTCATCTTTGGGACCTAATGTGTTCATTGGGAGATCAAGATCATGCAAGAAAATTGAAAATCATAGACAGACAGTACAATGCAGAGTTAAATATAGATCTACTGAGTCTTCTTAAGCTTGTCGGCCACAGGGGCAGAGTAGAGCCAGACAATGACGAATGCCAAAAATCCTCCAATCACCGACCAAAGACCGGCAATCCATACCCATCCGCCAGTGATAGCCCAGCTGCGCGGGTACTCGTCATGTGCGAAGTGGCGGTTGGTCACCTCAAGCTTCTCCTCGATGGCGGTGAAGAAGGGACGCTTGTAGTTGACACGGAAGGAGAAGATACCGTGCTGATCGGGGGTCACGAACTGAGTGCTGAACACAGTGCTGGTATCGGTGCGGCTGGTGGGCTGGAGGGTCAGGCGGTGGAAGGGCGAGAGCATAGTGAACTCGAGCTGGAGCGCGTCGCCGGCGGGAACCTCGAAGGGAACCCACTTGTCATAGACGTACTCAGAAACCTCAATACTGTAGATCTGCAGGCAAATAATGGTTAGTTTGGAAGAAAAAGTCAATATGTTGTTTCACGTACAGTCTCGTTCTTGATCCGGTAGATCGAGGGGTTCAACTCTGCGCCCTCAGTAGTAAGGCGATGCTCGACCTTGTCAACCTTCAGGACACCAGTCTCCTTGAAAGCCCAAGCAGTCAACTGCTTAGCGAACTCGCGGTTCACGGTAGAAGTCTTCTTGCCGTTGGGCGTCTTGACGGAGGCCGAGAACCACTTGTCCTCCAACGACTCCACTGATCCAAGAACAGTGAAGCGGGCAGAGTTGCGTGCCTGCATAGCAGAAACGATGTTCAGCTGCGAACCAGTAGCCAGGATATCCTCCGGTGCGGGCGTGCCCTCCTTGGGGTTGTAGCTGTAGGCAGTGGCGGGGGCCTTGAGAATCGGAGAGAGCAGGTTGCTGTCACCACCGAGAGTCTGGGGAGCAACTCGGGGGAGGGCGAGAACACCTTCACCATCAAAGAACGCCTTGACATCAGAACGGAGGGGTCCAGGGCGCTGGAGGACAAGGACGTCATGTTTCTCAGCGGCCGAGAGGGTGTCGTAGTTGAAGTGGTCGACAATAACTTGCGAGCGATCGGTGGAGAGGTGAATATCGAGTTCAAGAAGAAGGGAGCTGATGGCGCTGGATGTGGCACTCTTGCCAGAAAGAGCGAGGAGGATGTTGCCATCCTTGTTCATAAAGTCGAGGATGTGTTTGGGGGTCAAGGAGGGACCGAGGCCTGTATTCTTGGGTCAATTGACTAGACATTGAACCAATTGAATCGGGTATGCCCACCTTTGGACTTGGGAGGGAGGATCAGGAGGTGATCGTAAGCTCTTTCGCCATGCTTAAACAGATCAAGCTGATCACTCTTGGAAGATTCGATTGAGACATCGTATCCTCGTGCTAGAATCCAACAGTTAGCAAGTAATATCTGGATTGAGGCAAAGTAAAATACCCTCTAGGTCTGCCCACAACGTGGAGTACAGGTCCTTCTTTTCTGTGTCTTCCAGAATGGCCAACAAGCGACTGCCGGAGCTACTCAGCGCATTTACCACAGCCAAGAAGCAACAAATAAGCAACGCAAGACACCACCTCATTTTGAACAAATTCCGCACAGCGGAGTAGAAGTATCAAAAAGAAGTGAGTAAAGGAAGGTGGTTGAAGATCCAAGTATAGATAGCCATGAAAGGGCGACGTGTTTAATGGGCAAGTGCCAAGACCTGAGAACGCTGGGTCCGCATCTCCGAACTTCGACTTCACTTCGTCCCTACGGCTTCAATTTTGCTTCTCTTATCCCTGCCACCCAACAACCACTAAGTGGACCAGTGTATCTGTTCATTCCAGCGCGTTTGAACAGTGTTATTCTATTACTCAGGCATTGTCTTCCCATTCACATCGCCAAAAACCCCGACCGGTCAACGACCTCTTCCGACAGTCATGTCTACCCCTCAGTTCTGGTCGACTCCCCTCCGCTACATCCGCTGGGCTGCGCACGAGAAGCCAGCTATTCTTGCTGCTATCTGCATCGGCGCCATGGGTCCCGTTGCGCTCGCCACTATTCCCCCCATCCGCCGCGCTCTCGGTGACGTCGACCCCGAGCCCATTCCTCTGACATATCCCAGTATGAACCCCATTCAATTCCTACAAATCGATGCACGAGCATTAAGCCTACATTTGAGTAATTTGAACCTGACCAATATCTTTAATTCGTACAGTTCCGCAGGGTCCGCGGGTGATCCCCAAGGGCTACGATGACGAATAAACGAGTTCGCAACTACGAAAATGTCAAGTTATCGGCAGTAGAGAGAATTTCGTGCATTGTCCGAGCTTGGGAGGAATAAATTCAGCGGATGGCAGGAGATGAGTTGGCTGTGCCACTGGACTGATGAACAAGTCCCATCGCATCAGTGTGGGCAACCAAAAAGCCTTGTTTCGGGGCAACCTCTCCTGTCCATCAAAATGCTTTGATACCAATATTTGTTGCGCATACGTCGAATGTCGAGCCCGGCGCTACAGTGTATGTACTATGTTTTGTGCAATCATATAATCGACATCGGTCGCTTTTCTATGTTTCAAGTATCTTGGCCATGTTAGGAATAATTGCATACTTACACGCGAACGGCCGGATATAAACTTCGCACAATGGAGAAAGGCTGCTCCCTATATTTAGTACCTGCAGCACCTGATCAATTGCAGAATTTGCATTATACTCTGAAGCTGCAGGTCGGACAAAAACATCCGTAATCTAAGATGTGATATGATATATTGGTTCCAAGGTAAGAAATTTTGCAGAGAAAGAGATTCATTAAAATCATGGAGTCAATCCACGATCTTGCACATCAAAACGTCAACGTCAATCACAGACGGACCAACGCCGCAAATGCTCATATCTACATGTAGGTCACCAGCCTGAGTTTATCGAAGCACCACGCTCTCGCAAACCAAAGGAAAAAAAAAGTAGAACACGATGACCACCGTCCTTTCAAAGGAAAGAAGAAACAAAAGAAAAAGTTGCTAAGAACAGACAAATCCTGTACACCGTTAAACCAACGAAAGAGATCGCATTATTGGGTGAGTATTCCCGGAATCCGTGAGACCAGAGAGAGAAACAGACAAAACGCTCAAGTCCAGGCCACCTTTTCGTAAACTCGATCAAGACACATCACTCCTACTCCTGGCTGGCCAGTTGCACAGAAGCATGGGAGAGAAAAAGAAGGTCCACGGGAAGTCCAAGCTCCTGCCACAGAGCAATTGGGTTCAATTCCAGTGGAAGTCCATGGGTAAAAAAAAGAAGTGCGATTCATGTCCAATGGGAAGTGGAAAGTCTTCCTGACTAGGCCATTTGAAGTGGGATGTGAAACATTAAACATCTCTGGCTTCGTCTGGAGTTCCTGGACTGGAGAGAAAGAGAGAGAAGAAAGGCGTAAAGATTTTCCAGGAGATTTTCACAGACATCAACATTATTCCTAGGAGCATTTTGGAGATATTCCAGGAAGAAAGCATCAAATGGGACCACAAGTTGGATGGAGATAGAGAAAAGATCATGGAGGAAAACCCTTGGGGGCGGTCATTCTTGTCTACCGCCGACGATGGGGGTTGTCTCTGGTTGCTTGTGGCCTGCGCTCGTACTCTGGAGTGTATCTGGGCTCCATTCCTATCCGGGGATCCGGGGCAGTAGTGGTAGGATAGGACATCCCGGAAGTTACGGTAGAGTACTCCTGTTCGGCATCATATCCAGGTCCTGGGTATCGGGGAGCATTGCTTCGGCCATTGTCGTAACCATAGGTGGGGGCATATGTGTACGATTGGGGGTGCATGTCCGCAGCCGTCACGACGGGCTGATTGGAACCAGAATAGGAAACCTGGGGTGGAGGGTACGGAGCTGTACCTGATGCATATGGCGAGTGAGTGGCGGATGTGTATGATGAAGGGTTGGTGTAGGGGGCATTCTGGGATCCACTGTAGGCGCCCTGGGAGTAGGGATCCATGTATGACTGAGCGGGTGCTGCAGTAAAGGGCGTAGGAGATGGACCCTGTGACTGACGGCTCTCATGAACGGGCGCAGGGGCATAGTTCGCTGGAGCACTGTTAGGTGGATGGGAAACATTCGTGTCTTGAATGTAATTCCCACGCGGGTAGCCTAGGTCAGCCCGGCGGGAGACGTCCGCCTCCCAACGAGCGGAGTCAGCCTTCAGATCAGTA